GGGACTGGCTCGCGAGTCTACAACAACCGCGTCGAAATTGATCAAAGCTTCTTTTCCTCTTACCATTCCAACACTATCCACCTTAGCCTCCACCATTGCTTTCTCCCTCATCCCCCGGTTCCTTCAATGAGCGACTGTAAGCATAACATAGAAGTAAGTACTTCAATGACCCAGTTGACTTGACACTGTCGCTAACCCATTTCTTGTTGTCAATTTCACAGTGATCTCCTGATCACGACATCCTTCTTGCTGGACACAAGGTAATAACAAGCAGTATTCCACTCACTTTCCGATCCAAATCCTTTAGCAAAGGGTCAGTAGTAAGGAGTGATACTACTGTAGAAGCCTTTCTCCGTTGATAAAGCTTCATATTGTAAGCAGAGGGCATCCGGGGGAGTATATTGAGATGCGAAGATATGCAATAACCGCTATTGTTGGAAGGAAGAATGATTCGATCGGTCAGGTACTGTCTAGGGAAAACAGGAGAACACACGGTATATGAGGCAAAATTGGTAGGGATGGCGCTGGGACTAGAAATGCTGAGGAGAGAGAAGAGAACGACCATGGCGGCCATATATCTAGACAACCAGGCCGCAATCAAGGCAACACGAAAGGATGATGACATTAGACCAGCTCAACACCTCCATGAGATCGAAGACCTATATGCAAGGGTGATGAAAAAGCACGACGATATCAACTTCATGCTAGTATGGGTCCCTGAATACGTAGGCATCGAAGGCAACGAGAAAGCAGACTCAGAAGCCAAGGCGGCAGCTAGAGGAGATGGAAGCCCAATAGCAAATCTACCACAAGCACTGGAAAACCTGTTACCCCTAAGTACATCGGCAGTGAAAGCAGCATATAAGCTAACACTGCCAGATCAACACAAACGACTATTGATGAACGCCGGATGGCTGGAATGAGTACAATGAATAGATGCAAACACACCTGCAACAGCGTACCGAAGAATAGTCCGAAACAGCAACCGCTGCCAGACCAGCACGCTCACGCAGCTACGGACTGGCCACGCCCCGCTCAACTATCACCTCCACAGAATAGGGGGCTGGGAAACCCCCTTCTGTATGCACTGTGGTACTAAAAGAGAGACAGTCTTCCACTTCATCATGTCATGTGAAGCCTACCGAGCCCAGAGAACCTTACTACAGAAAGAGATACCGCGGATGCTCTACAACATCACAAATCTATTGTCACACAAAGATTGCATTCCGGAACTACTCAAATACATAGACCAAGCATCAAATTAAAGAAAACTCTAGCAGACAAGAGGAGAAGAACTTAGATGGAGATGGAGGCCGACAGCCGTCGAGGAAAGAACCTTCACAACCTTATCTATCATGTAGCTGCCGTTCTCCAGGAGACACGCAACACCTATCACGGGTCGATGTCGGGTAGAGCAATGGGGAAGGAAACGCAGAGGCGTTAGAATACTTAGTCATGTAATGTCTTACATGGAGCAAAGCCCTAATAGACAATAATAGACGAGAAAAAAAAAAAAAAAAAAAAAAAAAAAAAAAACAACTACGCCTCTTGAAATGCGGCGTATTATCGAAGGAGATGTGTACGTATATGAATTCATCGCGTGATTATGATTATGATTATGATTATGATTATGATTATGATTATAGTAGGCTAAAGTGTAATTACCCTTAACTAACTACTCTTAGAAAAAAAAAAAAAAAAAAAAAAAAAAAAAAACCACTATTGTTATCTGTTGGTTTAACTGATCTATATTGTGTAGACTTACAACTATGTGTAGGAACGGACTAACATGATGTAAACTATTCATTTTCATCTCATTCACGCACATTTAACCTTACTCAATTCTGATAGGAAAACTCTAACTGTGGCCTTAGGGATTGATAACTAGGACTGAGCCAACTGTAATGGTTCTGATGCTGCGGGCAGTCCGAGGTTGCAGTCAAAGCGGTCGAAATGGAGGACTTGTGGGTATGTCAGGGGTTGTGACGTTGGTGCTGGGTGAGGAAATGGACTAGACGGTTTCATTGAGCATTGTAGTATTAGATTACACTTGTAAATTATGTACATTATTTTGAATATATCGATTTTTCTTGGAATTAATGCCTGAAATGACGGTTTTGAGACAATAATGGAGAGCACAGAAGTAGCCTGGAGCCTTTGGACAATCACTGTACAGACGATCTGGGACACTAGGTAGCCAGTCTGGACATTTTGGAAATGGGCAATGTCCGCCACAGCAATCCGGGCGTCTGGACCTTCTGGACCGCTCCAGACGACTTGACACCGTTACTGATGCTCAGACCTCGCTGTACTAGAACCACGTGGGTGCAATAACGCATTGGTACACGAAGCGTTGATGCATCATTGAATACAACTTGAATCACAATGGTTCATGCCTCAAGCCTCAGCCCGGCGTGTCAATCAACATCGTGCCATCTACTAGCTATGACATATCCCCATATGTACTCTAATTCTCCCGACCGGCGTCGGACCTTACTTGACCATTTAACCTAAAACCCAGCTGAAAGAGACTAGATCTGTACGTCTGCTAATCTACTTTATATTCCTTTCATTTAACCTTCGAGTCTCTCTTTCATGGCCTCCGATACATCAGGTTATGTATCGGATGCTCCTTCGCAGAGCGAAGTCATTCAAGATTTAATTGCTGGGTACGAGAGTGCTCATCTTATGCGTCCCTTCGATTTCTAATATCATGATAGGAATGCTGCAACGGCCGTAATGACGGCCGCTCTCAGTATGAATATCTCATTGCCCTTTATAATCCGTCGAAATAATTGACTTGTTTTAGCCCTAATTATTTACGATACTACCCTGGTATTTTCAGACGAGCTGTCATTGATATGGCGAAGAAAATGGGGATTAGGAACCTTCCTTTATCTCCTAGCACGTTACGGAACGGTTCTTCAAAGCATCCTATACCTTTTGCTCTCGGTATCAACCAGTACCTCTATCACGGTACGTTCACCAATTTTTTTAATCGTTTCGGCTAATTTATTGTCCCTGGTAGTATGTCACCGTTACTCCCTGTCGGTGATTCTCGATGATAAACGGCATATATCCTCAGCTTTCTCAATGCGACCTTTGTTGTTTTAGAATGTGTTATTCTTGTGGCAGGGATAGGAAACGAAGGTATGTGCAGGCAGGCTACTTCACTTCGCTACGTTGTTCACGGGGTTGCTCGTGCCACAGGCCTCTTTCTGGCGATAGTATATGCTGTGTCTGGCAAAAATATCTGGATCATTACTCTCCTTCTGATACTCACGGCGACCTACTTGGGATGTGCTATTGTATGTAGTTCCTATATGATACTTGAGCATCATACATACTTATATTTAATCTCCATCGACAGGCGATAATGCCCTTTACCTTCATCACAACTTCAATCGTATTTTCCACTTTGTGAGTAATAATATTTCTATTCAGGTCGTCTGCTTATATAAATTTGAATACAGGTGTAAGTCACAATCTTCAAGCAATATCGAAAAGCTCATGGTCTTCAGCATCCGTAGTTAGCGTCGTCGTCCTCGTCACCCAGACGATCTCTGTTGTTGTGATGTTTTGCCGGGGTTGGGACAACTATAACGTCTCTAGGAGTTGGGATGTAGTGCATTTGGGCCATAATCAACCACTGTTGATATTACTTATACAGCAAGGTCAGTTCTACACTAATATGTCCGATTCGATATTAATCATTTAACATACTATCAGGAGTTATCCGACTCACGTATGTGAATAGGTTTATAATTTCTTCGAGATAGCTGTGCTTATGTGCTCTTCCTACTTAGTGTCATCTTTACCTGGTCTTTAGAGGTTGTACTCAATAGGAAGGCACGTTCTTTAAATCACTCTATTTCATAAATCTAACCTTACTATTTGTAACAGCTCCTTGACGTGAGTCTTTTCCAATATTCCCCTCAGTCATCCTAAATCCCCGGCAGCCGAAATTCGCCGGACTTGATTCACCCTTGAAAGAAGTGTGAGCTCAAGCGAATCTGCAGTACAGCTCAGGTTCTGACATTTGAAATAGCGTGGGGACCATTCTAATTACCCGATTTATGCTGCAATTACGGCACAGACAACAGGCACTGGCTGCATCAGCACTGGATTTGCCTACGGTTTCAACAGCCCAGTTCAGTCGTAGGTCCACCACTGGCAGTGGGACTCGATCTGCTCTGAGTCGAATCACCGACCACATTTTGGAGGAGTTCGGAGAGCCAGACATGCCGCCTATCATTGATATTCGGAATTTTCATCAGGAGGATTCACAGATTATACAGACGGAGAAGGGACTGAGTAGATCACAAACGGCAATGGCGGAGGAGTATCCCTGGGCGTGCATTGAACACTCTGAAATGGTTAACTACTAGAGATAGACGTAATTTCCGGGTGGAAGCAGGAAATGATGTAATTGGTCGACTGTGAAGGAATCAGCACATCAGCTCACCTCGTCATATTCCAGGACTCACGTGTCAAACCTCGAAGATAATGCAGTGTGGGGCTGATTACGCGAGGTATCTGAGGTTAAGAATTAAACTCGAATGTTGAAATTAATAATAATAAGCCTGGAGGCGTTGGAGTCTTGCATAGCTCGCTTCCCACCTTTCTGGGGCATGTTTATCCTGCTACGGACCTGCAATATTGAGAGTTAAGGGTTAGGTCTGAATAACCCAATTCTCCTGATAAGCCTGAAATCTTTTGCTTCAAGTTTATACTGATTAAATTCGTCCGAAGGCCTCTTGAGTATTATAATCTGACGAAGAAAGATACAAGTAAAATCGCGCCGTTGGAGTGAGCCATATGCATAAATTATCAAAGTCGTGACGGACATTGCCTGAGGTGGACGCCGGACAGATATGTAGGTGCATTTTTGCTCCTTTCATTTTTTTGGGAATCCACCTCATAAAGTATCCAAGTCTTCTTCCAACCATAAACGGGAAAAACGAAGACATTCAGGAAAAGAAAGAAAAAGAGAAACGATTAGCCCCACGCGGGGGTCGAACCCGCAACCTTGAGATTAAGAGTCTCACGCTCTACCGATTGAGCTAGCAAGGCGGTGTCCTTCAATTTACAATATAAAACCTTGAGGGGAGGGATGATATGAATAAAGGTGTCAGCGTATTCAAATTGGAGGCTGTATCGACAGTCTTTGCCTCACTGTGACTCCTTGTATCGGGCGAAGGAATTATTTGCTTGCGTCATTGTCGCTGTGATTGTAATGAACGAAAGAGGACGTGATGCTTATGCTGTTTCGGCATTACATGAAGAATTACTCTAGCCTAAAGTTCTTCATGCTCAATAGATATTTTTCGTACCCGGTGTGAATAACCCCATAATCGCGGATTATTTTTCGAAGTGTGGAGGACTTTTACTTTTATGTTCGCCGTCGTTAAGGAAGGCAGGGTAAGTAGTCGACTTCAGCCGATGATTTTTGTTCATGTTTTGCGTGCATTCCTGTGTCCTTTCCCGCCGAATTATAAGTAAGCAGTAAATAAGATTCTCCCGAGATTGTGTCAATTAGCGTCCCCCATGCACACCTCGTACGTAGTCACTTTCCTTATGTACTTCACGCTCTTATTTAATCAAACAACGTTATCATTCAAATTGTCCTGCATTAATTATTTACTCAAGTCACCACACGCTGACACCCATCCTGGTGCGTACTCCAGTACCAGAACCTCATATCACAACCTAAGTTTAAGTCATCACCCGTCTCACCTCTCCTATCACTCATCGTCACACCCTCCCATCCCTCGCACAACCCGCCCTCGTATCATCACCCACACTCGTCCGAGTCCTCAGTCACCCCGCACATTGCCCAGCCCCACGCCCACGCAGCATCCCCTCCCAATCCCCTGGCACATCCACCGCACCCCAATTCCCGTAGCACGTAGCAGCCCTCAGTCCCACTCATCCCCGCTCAAAGAACTAGATAAAAACTCTGTACACTAATACGATTAAAATACATGCATATGAGATCGACATGGCGTGATGGGTACAGATGTCCGCGTGGGCATGTATGAATGGGAGGAATGGGAAGATGCATGTATGGAGTGAGATTATGAAGGATAGAGTATGGGATGGGATGGGGAGTCCGTTATGGATTGAATTATAGGGATGGGGACGGATGGGAGGGCGCGACGCGGAGAATGGAAAGGCGAGGACGTCGTCTATGGTAGAAGCAAGCATGGGAACGCGAATGTCCGTGGGCATGAATGGAATGATAATGGGTCGGAGGACTGGGCAGGACGACGAATGTGGAAACGGGGTGGGCAGTCAGGGCGAGGCGAGGACGGGTGTAGGTCGGGTGTGGGGGCGAGACGGCGATAAGGGCGGTGGATGTGTATGCGAGGAAGCGAGGCGGGCGATGATAGCGGAAGGAACGAGAATGGCTGAATGATATCGACGACCAACGCGACTTGCACCTTGAAGCGATGCGAACAAGATCCACTTCCTAACCCCATCCACCCACCACCGCACATTCCCCTCCTAACCTCCCGTTCCCGCACCCTCCTCCCTCCATATCCCCCCAAATCAAAGCGATTGTATCCCCCTACATAATAACACAATCCTTATCCCTCTTCCCGCCCTCCCCTCCAACGGTGCCCGCGCCCCGATCCAGCATCGCGCCCGCTCCACCAGGGATCGGCCCCGCGGTCTGGTTCTTGAGCCGCTGCATCGCGCGCTTGTCGCCGAGGGACGCGGCGGATTTGTAGTAGCGGATTGCGCTGTGTGATTATGGGGCGTTAGCGTGTGCATCCAATGTGTGGTAGAGAGGTGAAGGAGGGTGGGGATAACGCGGAGGTGGAAGGGCTGATGAAAAGAAACACATACTCGTTAAGATTAGCCGGGACACCAATGCCGACCTCCGAGAAGTATCCCAGCGCGTACATAGCCTTCGCGAGGCCTTGGTCCGCAGCCTTCTTCGCCCAGAGGTAGGACTCTGTGTCGGACTGGGGGAGCACGCCCGGGGAGCCAACGAGGTACCACGCTGTGAGGGCGAAGCAGGCGTCGGGGTGGTTTTGCTGGGCTGCGATGTTCTGGAGCAGAGATTAGTATGGCGTTTAGAGAGGAGGAGGGAGATACGCACATAATAATGAATCGACAACGCTGGATCCTTCGGACATCCCAGTCTCCCATACTCATAGCACTCCCCCAGTTTATACGCACTCGGCGCATTCCCCAGCTCCGCCGCCTGCGCCAACAACTCCACCGCATAGTCCTCATCCTTAAAAATCACATTCGGGATCCCCTTCTCATGCAGAAGCGCCAGCTCATGCAGCGCATGCGGGAATTCCGCCGTCGCACACTCCGCGCTGCGCTTCAGCCACGAGATCCCCTCGCGCGGGCTCTTGTTCAGCCCTAACTCCCCGTTCAGCTCTGCGACTCCAAGACGGTAGCATGCGCCTGCGTGCCCCATCGCGGCAGCCTTGCGGTAGTACTGCACCGCCTTTCCCGACTCGCGGCGGCAGCCCCAGCCGTTCTCGCAACACGTGCCCGCGCGATAAGCCGCGTCGGCGTGGTTGTGCTTCGCGGCGAGGACGAAAAGCGGGTAGGCGCGGTCAAAGTCTTGGCGGCCTTTGACGGTCCCCAAGCCGTTAGCGTAGCAGTCCGCGAGGAGGTACTGCGAGGGGGCGTGGCTACGGTCTGCGGCGCGCTTCAGGAGGCCGGTCGCCTCGCGGATGAGCTGGTCGCGTTTTTCAGACTCGGACTCGACGAGGAGGACGTTGGATTTTGTGAGGGTGGGGAGGACCCAGTTCTTTGCGTGGTCGAGCATGAAGACGGCGAATTCGAAGAGGACGGAGGGGTCTTGCGTTTTCTTTGCGTTTTCGCGGTATTGTTGGAGGGTGATTTGCTGGGGGAGGAGGGAGGCTTTGTCGCCTGGACGGAGGTGGGAGTGGTCGAAGAGGAGGCGGGGTTGAGGTTGCGGGGAGGGAGGCCCGTGGTGTGCGTGAGAGGAGGGGCTGTGCTGGCGTGAATCGTGTTGTGGGACGGGAGGAGGAGCATTGTTGTAGAAGGACTGGCGGGGGTCGTCTTCGGGGTAGAATTGCGTCTGGCGGTTGTCGGCGAACTGGGGAGGAGGACCTCGCTGCTGCGGCTGCTGTTGTTGTGGGGGTGGAGGAGGAGCATTGTTGTAAAAAGACTGGCGGGGGTCATCTTCGGGGTAGAACTGCGTCTGGCGATTGTCGGCGAACTGGGGAGGACCTCGCTGCTGCGGCTGCTGTTGTTGATACGAACGCTGAGATGCGTCGTCGGCGAACTGGGGCGGAGGACCTCGCTGCTGCGGCGGCTGGTGTTGATACGAACGTTGGGAGGCGTCGTCGGGGTACGGACGGTCGTACGAGGCGGAATTGCGTGGATAGCCCGACGACATTGCAGACGACGAGCAGAGGCAAGCTGGGTGTAATCAAGGAAAAGACAGGCGCCCATATCGTTATGTCATCACAGGCGCCCAGCACATCTTCCCAGAGCTGCGCAGAAGCGAAGGCTTTACGACTTCGACTGATCTCAGGAATCCCGGTGTGTAGAACTTCCATTCTCTGTACTAGCCACTAACCACTCCTTCGATCTCGCTGAATATCTGCTGCAGAGACGACAAACACCCTCACCATGAATGTGCAATGCGCGCGCGACACGCTGTGGAGCCTGCTCCCTGCGCGGGCGTGCCTCCCATGTCATTGCCATTGTCATGATGCATGACGACTACGGGCCCCTTTTTCCAATTCTCGCGGTCCCAGGCACTGTGATTAGCTCGCAGACGGAGAACACCGGTGTTAAACGGGTGATTGACACCGCGACGGGCGTTGACGGGTGCGGGTAACGTAAAGCTTATATTTGGGTCCTAGAAGCTAAATAAGGATGTGATATATGGAATGGAAATTTTGGGACGTATGTCAAATTCCAAAGGGCGGTGTAATGTTAATGTTAATTAAATTTTGTTTATTAGGCTTCGGGCACCGGTGGTTTGCAGGGGGTAGACGGTAGTTAAGCTGGTCCTTAACTTTATCGATGATCATCGATAAATCGATAACAATGGAATGGCTTTAAACTTCAAGTGCCTGCATTCGCAATATGCTACTCTGCTTTCCCTCTTCTTCCAGCTACATTGTCGCACCTCCTCTACGATTCATGCATGGAACAACTGGCGTCGCGTCCGGCCTTCTCGCTGAGGTCTCATGCGTACGCCAACACTCGTTTCTGCATTCTAGTCGTTGAGGTGGGTCGCTATGTTCCTTTCGCTCGCGAATTCCGATGGGCTCCTCCCTCCTTTTCGTTCTCATCCGTATAGTTCTGGGTGTATACTCCACGCCACGGTGGGGTGGAAGAAGGGTACTCATTTCCTTCTCTTTTATTTTTGGTATTCTCTTTGGCTGCTGGGGGTCTTCGACTTTAGCATATGGGGTGGCCATCATAATGTAGGTATGTACCTCAATTTTCAAGGATGGTATAATGTTAATTAGATCTTGTTAGGCTTTACAAGGCTCGTAGGGTGGGTGGTAGCCTTGATCGATAAAGTGGCCTTTAAACTCCGAGTTTCCTCTGTGTTGGCGATATATTATCCATATCCTACTCTGCGTTCCCCTTTGCAATACTGTCAACCCCTCCTCTACGACTCATGCCACGGTACACCTGGGGTCGCGTCTGCCTTTTCGCGATCAATAAGACAGGTCTTTTAATCTTCAAGTTCTCCTGCGCTGGCAATACCTTAGTCTGCTTTTCCTCTTTTCCGAATGCGGATTACCCCTTCCTCTACGACTCAATCGCGTGGCACATCTGGGGTCCTACCTTGATCTTTTCCATGCGATGATCTCGTGCCCCAGTGTCCAAATCTGTTAAATTCCTCGAGGGGTGAGTGGAATTTGCATTTTTGTGTCGCTCGCGAATCCGATGGACTCCTCCGTCCTTTTCGTCCTTTTATGTGCCCAGCTTGTGCGTATATTTTTCGACAGAATTAAAATGTTGATGTGGACGGGGGGCTAATCCACACCATCGTTTCATTCTCTTTGTTATTCTCTTCCCCTGCTAGTGATGCCCTCCGTCGACAGGAATTCGCG